GTCGGTGTCAGGCAGTTATTTAGGTTAGAGGAGGTCCAACGCCTTACTAATTAATAATTAACAAATATTTATTAAGGTTAGGTTTATTTTAATATTCTAATGAATTCCATGACACACTTTATAAATAAAAACCAATAAAAAAAAAACTGGTTTTTTTTAATTACTGAACCCTTTTTGTACGCCTCTGAATTAGTCAAAATCAAACTCATTACAGTTATGACACCTTTTAAACTGTAACGCTTAACAAAAGTGTTAAAAATTTCAAATAAAATCAAGTTTTCGTTTTTTTTAAATTTCATAAACCCCTTTTTGCACGTCGCTGGTGTTGACCATTTTCTTTACACGTTATTCCTTGATGCAGTTTAGTCGGTATCTGTTATTCTTTAATTAAAAAAAAGGCTAATTCTAAAAGAAATATGGAATTTCATAAAATGGCGATATTTCCATAGCAACGCAAAGTATCAAAAAAATGGCAAAGACATCCCGATGTGTCGACGTAGTGATCCACTCAACATCAGAAAGAACTTGATTTGGCCCCCCATATTTTCCAAATTCTTTGCCAAAAAAACGGACATTTTTCGCTGCCTTACATTCACACCCTGTACAACAAGAAGCTATTAAAAAAAAATATATTCAATGCCACTGACGCAAACAGCAAGGATGGCGCTTTCCACCTCTGCCTGAAAATCTAACATCGGCAAAGAAATGTCGAAGTTACAGCTAGTCAAAATTAGGCAATTTTTTGGCTGTCCCACTTCATCTGCGGCGTAGTTTATTATGAAATCTGTTTTCTGAAATATATGTATTTGAAGCTTAATATTTATTGAAACCCCTTAATGCGGATCTGAAGTATTCAGCCCAAAGCATCATGGCGGCTTTATGTCAAAACGTTAATAAATATTTACCGCTGAAAACGAATATATTTCTTATTTTTCATAATATTGGCACTTATATATACAATTTTTCCCGATACATCGTGCCATTTTCAATTGAGTAACTAAAACACTTTAAATTGCTAATAACACCAACAAATAATTCAAAAAACGGCGGTCCATGATAATTCAACTTACGCAGAGATGAGCGTAGAATAGAAATGTCGGAGCAATTCAGGTGGCGTCGTGGACACAATGATTTTTAATTATGCAATGTTACATCTCCGGTCCCTTTAATCAAAGAAAATCCACTACACCTTCCTTTCAGCGATGTGGTGTCCACTGGTGGATATTTTCTCCACCAGCTATTTAGCAGGAGTGAATTACATTACATATGCTGCGTTTGAGAATCCACATCGGATGCATTTTTTACATCTCGAGCGTTTTTTTATCCACATCTGTCCCATTACATTTACCTATACTGAATCACGTGATCAAATATTTACTACATCTCCGATGTGGATTCTCAAACGCGGCAATAATATGGTATAAGGAGGAAGTAAACTAGGTAAATAAAGTGGTGTAATTTACACTGGTGAACACCGCACCAACAGCGAACGAAAGAACCTATTACAAACAATATATGTTACAATATTGTACCGTTTGTTTAATTTATTTATAGTTTATTTATTATAAACACTTTATAATTTATTTATAACGTACTAATTAATTTATATAATACTTAGGCACTATTATTACTCACAATTCTAATTTATTTTTTACAATTTGTCTTTACTATCAAACACCTAAATTGAATATTCTCCATATCGTTCCAATTAAATATGTGGAACGCTTCACGATTTTGCGTGTCATCACTTGCGCAGGGGCCATGTTAATCTTTTCGTCCATCGACAAAGTCGCGGCTATTTATATAAAAATGTAACGGTCTAGAAAGAACCAATCCTGCTGGAAGAATTTCGAAGCATTCGCGAAGTACTTGGCCTATGCGTCCGCGGCATACCTAGAAGATTCCTGTTTCGACCATAAGTCGGGTGGCAGACTTCACGTCGCGCTCTAGTCAAAGTCGGCTCAGGCGTTCTCACTACAGTAAATTTTGTAAATATCGATAGCAAGGGGTTTGGTAAATAATTATGATCATTCTCAGTATCGTCTAGCACACTATCGTAACTCTCTGATAAGCCAAGTGCAGAATAGTCTCTTAAAGATTTCGTCGATTTCACGAACAGGACATTAAATTCGAAGCTGCTCTAGAGGAATGCAATTTCCACGAAATTTTTCACGTACTTTGACATGTACCTACCTATTTTTTTAAGCTACGGACTTATTTTCAAACTTAAAAGAACTCATTTCTCTCAAGATTTTTATAGGAAATGTCATACGTCAACGTGAAAACAGTATTTTTAGAGCCAATGAGAGTTCAAATTCTTAGGAGAATTTTAGCCTCTCGAAATAAACCAAGAGAATTAAAAATTCTATTTTTATGATGAAGTACATTTCTCGGGAAAATCTTGAGAGAAATCACTCTCTCGAGTTTGATAAGTTCCCCAGAAATTGCCGGCCGGTGGAGTTATTATTGTGGCCTCCATGTAAACGAAAACAATCAAAGAACAACAACTGATTTTGAGACATTTGGCATATTGGTAAAAACTGTAAATATGTTTAAAATTACATATTTTTAAGGCACCTTTATAATTGTTTTAAAGATAAAGGATTTTTATAACGAAACTGAAGTAAATTTTTAGAATTTAAGATATCAAAGAGATTTATAATTCTTTTAAATCTAATTTTTTGCACCAACTTCAGCAAATTGTCTCATTTTTAATTCATCTTTACAAAACTCTAATGTGGTTGCAACACACTCACTCAAAGCACAATTAATATATCCTTTTACCAAATGACACCCTGCACATCGTTTACTATGTTGTATACTTGTCGAATGTTATTTCAGATAATTTCTTCCTATGAATATCTGCTAGGCTGCTACAACTACGTTGATTACAAGCTGCCATTGTTTAACTTTTAATTTATACAATACATTTAGTTTACAAACGACATGAAAATAAAAAAAATACTTGTGGCACTCGGGGACTGCCGCGGTAAAGCTATTGCATAGCATTTTTTATCAACTTATGCAATTATAATTATTTATTTTATTTATGCAGTTTTTTTTTATATTAATTCAAGTTTTTTCCTTAATATTAATTCAAGTTACACTTTTTGAGCGTGGTGACCAATAAGAAAACAATTTTTTTTTTTTAATAAATGAGAAGTTAAGGTAGTTCACTCGCGACAGTCGTACTAAAAAATATCGCTTAATGGTGAATACCAATAGTGAGAGATTCTCAATGCTAATCAATTTTATTTTTGTAAGAGACTGTACAAAACACATGTAAGCTTATATATATATATATATATGGATTTTAATAAATAAAATCCATCCGGCAACCTCATACATACATGAATGGTTTGCTATAGAAATTTGTGACTTCCTCATATTAATTTTAAGGGTTTGTTTTGGTTCAAACAGAACCGCAGATTCCAGTTCTCAAATACAGTGGACGAATTAATTTTTCAAGGAAACGTCGCGAGGTTATAACATCCTCTTAGCTGATCGAGTGTTAGTTTGGTACAACGCTTTAATTGCAGCGTACACAACGTTGCCAAGTTGTAATAATTTTACGCAACTACGCGTCGATTGCTTTAAAAATATTTTTATTTTAAAAATCTATATCTTTTTACTAAGGTCAAAAAATTCAGCGTTTCTTTAGAAAATTTTATAACTTCTTGATTTACATTACATTAGTTTTTAAAAAATATGGTAAGAACAGTTTTCGAGATATCTGGAAATAAATGCATTACTTGTGTACATGAGAGGCTTCAAGAGTGTTAATTATGCACATTTTTATTGTTAATATCTCGTTTCACAGATGGTCAAAAAATTTAATTTTTTTTTATTTACATAAAAGACACTTTCATTAACCTTATATTTCAATTTTATTGAATTCTTAAGAAAAGCCGTTTTACGAGTGAACTACCTTAATATTGTTTAAAATATTTTTATTATCTTACAATACATGTAGGTTATTCAGGAATTTTTATCATTGAAACTATAGGTTTATGGTAACTGAAATATTCTCTAAATATCTGGAAAATACCGCGTCAATGGTGGTCCCATATTTTGTTGTGGATTCTTGTGGATAACTATTCATTTTCAAATTCAATTTTTCCGAAATTGTGTCTAAAAGAGATAGAATCAGCTAGTCTACACGCATACGTCTAGTCGCACGCACACAAACACCGTGCCGAAGTCTGCCGAACTGAAACGACGATAGACGATGCACGGCTTTCAACGCCGCACCACCAGCAAATCAATGATTCTTCCACGAGCGATGAATTTAAAACGCCAACAAAAAGTACGTTCGGACAGACAAGTTCCATTCACTCTCTTTAACTTCAAACTACCCTTTTAGCGTTCGCTTATTCCGATTAGTGACAGTTTAACAAGCTTAAATGTAATTTAAAAGCACCCTAAAAACCTCCGCTCCTGTCCCGCTCCAGCGCCTGACTATCCCGAACTCACCTATAGCAAACTACAGCGTCCTCTTCCCAGTGTTGCCAGGTTATATTATTTTTTTTTCAGTAGCCTAAGAGTCAAAAAATCAATAGATAGATTGCTTGCATAACATCAGAGGCAGAAACTTTTGTAAAGTCGATGTGGTTCTTGTACAAATGAACAGATATTAAATTTTATTTATTTTAAAAAGTTGCTAAATTTTTCTGCTTCAAGTTTACTCTTTTCTCTATTAGGGAAAAACACTGTTCCTGAAAAGAACTGCTATTTTATAAACAAAAAACAATTATTTTTTTAAATTTATATCACTACAAAATATTGATCTCGATCACAAAACTAAATTAGTAATCTACTTAGTTTCTGAACACGGATAAGGTTAGTAACCCTAGGTAAGCGAACAATAAGATTCATAAACCTTTGATCAGTGTAAGTTTTCGAGAACACCTATAGAGGATTCATTGCACAGAAGGTAATTCTTCAAAAACGGTAAACTTAAAACCAACCATGATTTCCATAGATAAAAACACGAAAAAATTTTGATTTAGGATTTATTGGCCATCTTATAACACACCTTTTAACATTATTTTGTGTAATGTTGTGAATAAAAAAAATATACCCCAAGTAAGCAGAGGTACCTGAAAACTTATAAAAAGAAAATTATTTAAAAAATAAAAATAATTACAATCACCTCGCAATGCAACAATTTAAAATTTGCTCATTTTTTTTTCTCGAGACAAATTAAATGCAAAGACGATTCGTGTGAAAACAACATTTTTTTTTTGTACTTTAAATTAAGACTGTTTTTTTTTAATACACTTAAAATCACAAACAAGTTTTTTTTTTCACTATTTTTTCTTCCTCTATTTTCTTTTTTTTTTTTCAATCTTTTTTTTTTTCGTGTCCTTTTTTCTTTTTTATATTCGTTCTTTTTTTGGTACTTGGAAAAATGAGGATGGCATTTGTTTTTTTTTTTGGAAAAATAATGATTGAATTGAATGTTTTTTTTTTTCCTTACTAATACGGAGCAAAATATCCTCGTCTAAAACCCCTAAAAATGCAGAGATCAGTTCGTTAAAAACACATATTTTTTTTGCAACAACAACATAGAAACAACTCTAAATCTACTAAAGAAAACAGTGCAAAAAAGTATGAAACGATATTTACAAAAACAAAAAAATATAGAAATAGAATATTTCATACAAAGCATTGTGGTAAATTAGTTCGAAAAACGTGTTAAAAAATGATTTTTTTTATTTATTTATAAACCAAAAATCAAATCATAATTCTCCGACCGAACACCCCAAAATGCCTCGTTCCATTTCTATTCTCGTTTTATTTTCTTTATTCTGTCAAACGACGTGACAAGTGAAGATATTTTGACAATTCGACGGAGTTCAATCCTCCTTCTGCCTAATAACAAATGTCACTATCCGTAGTACTATTCAAGTACATGCCCAGCGCGATTCGATCATTTCATATTTCAAAACATATTCAAACATTTCTCAATCGCAATTGAAAAATATTTCAATTCCGTGCAATTTAAAAATTCAAAATAGTAACCAAAGACATTAAGAGATCAGCTAAAGATATATGTTTTCGTTGTTTCTAAAGTGTCGAGCAAAACAAAGATACCTTGGTCTGCGCATCGGTCTGTATCCAGCGTAAAAGCCTCTGCTGACTGTGCCTCTAGTCCCTCTGAATGATCCTCTGCCTCTGGGCGGTCGATTCGTCGATGATATGCCTGGGCGATTGGTCCTTTTTGGCATCACCTACGAAAAAAATTAAACGACTCTGTAATTTACTATTAAAAGCCAATTGAAATTTTGGACATTTTATTAATTGTCCCCATAGCAATTTCTTTTTTTGAAACAACTTGTAGGTACTTCCGTCGACTTTAGTAATACGAATTGAGGTAAAATTTGAAATGTTCTTAATCTGCTAAAGTATATTTTATGATAACGTTTACGGAAATTAGCCTTTTTGTTAACTTCATAAAAAAGATTATATGTCATCATGACTTTTCATATTCTATAGACGACATGATAAATTTAACAAACTATTGACAACTATAATTCTAAAATATCGTTTGGCTTCAAATTGTTTAAAATGTTCGTTAGATTTATTTTGGTGTGAAATTGTCTTGCCGAATTTCCCTCGTTCTTGAATTAATAACCGAAAATTTTAGTTGTTCCCAAGAAAAACGTACACTTCAAAAATGTTATGGTAATAATTAAACCACTAGATTATAAGTGAAAATTTATTTTTCGTTATTATTTAACGTATTGATCAATTTTGAAATTAGACAAAGAAGGCGCCCACCTACACTCTATGTATGAAAAAACTAGAGATAACAGGGGATGTAACTACAGACAAATATCATGCTGTTGTGAAAAAGATATATTATATTTTAAGGGACCCAGGAGGGTATAATATCCGCTACTGTCAATCCTATTTCATTATTCTCGTTTTGTTTACAAAATCTTAAAAAAAGCTAAAAAGATAATTCAACCTTTTAAAATTAAATAATTTAACAAAATTAGATGAAATAATTTTCCAATAAATTCCAATATCTAGTAAATGTTAAGTTGGATATCAAGTATTTTGTATTAGATGTGGCAACAGGGCTTGGTATTTTATACGTTGTTTGCAACGGCTTACACATTCATTGATAAAATTGTTTTGTACCACCGACAAATCCTTCAGTTTATCCCTTCACCTCTTCACCCACATGTCTCTTCACACCTGATATACCAGGTCTTCAACAATACCCGAAACCCACGTGATCTGATAACCATCAAAAACCCATCGAAAGGGCCTGATATGACGTAAAAGGAACTAAACTGAACTGTCAGACCCGTCATAAATGTCCCTGGCGTTCAATTGGGGACTGACGATATTTATATTATATTTGTTTACATTTTATCAACACCATTGTTCCATTTTTCATTTAATATTTTGAACATATACTGTGAATTAGTATCGTTTGTCCACCACCGAGTGTCTTTTAACATTTTTTTAAATAAAATAGTTGTTAATAGGTATGCCTTTATAATTTAATGTGAAAAGTGAGACCTGTGAGGTAAAAAAATATGTGCTTGTAACATTAATATTTTCTTATATACATATAAGTAATGTAGTTTGTAAATGGTTTAAACCCTGTAATAAATAAAAAAAAAATTGTTTATTGCTTCCTATTTCCCAAGTACAATTCCTAAAAGTTTTAAATTTGTTTATAATTTCTAATGAGTTATTTGTTTCGGTTAACTGTCCACTTTTGTAAGTTTTTATCATTTGATTTGATTGCAATCACCTGATATGCCTTATTTACTCTAATTTTACAGCAGGTTAATTGATGGTCTGCTCTTGTAATACTTAAAAGGTGATATTTCTATCTAAGATTACTATCTCAGGAAAATTTAATGGGTTATTTTTTACCACAGTAGGTACTTAAACTGCAATAATTGCCAAATACTGACATTGTCGATTTTTTTTTATTAGTACGAACCATATTTCCTAATTTCAGTTAATTATTCTTTTCGTTAAATACAAACTAGACATAACATAGCTAAGTTTTTAAGGTTATGTTAATTATAACAATTTTTAAAATGAGATTTTTGCATTTGACTAAATCTAATTAAAATATCGAATTCTAACATTAAAATATACGACAATGTAAAGCAATTCTTATTAATAACATGATTTTTTCTTGCAATTCTAACAGTTACCTATCTAAATTTTGTTCTCATAGTTGCAGACCATAAAAAAGAAGATCTATTTTGTAATAAAATACCTAAGGCACTGGCTCACATCTAGGGATTTTTACTTCTATTTTCACCAACCGCTGTAATGACGATTTAGTCACGTGGGTTTCGGGTATTGTTGAAGACCCAGTACAACTGGACCGTATTGAATGTGGTATTAATATCTAAAAAATGTTCTGGTTTTTACGGTAAATTTAAATAAAAAACGTATACTTGTTTTAATAGGTAAATTCAACCCTTTTCAAAAAATTTACATTTAAAAGTTTCTAGTCACAGTATCTATTTAAATTGCCTTACAATATTGTAACAAAATAGGCTTGACAACAAAAGTAAAAATGTACCTACAGCTATTAAATAATAAATTATACGTTTTTTTTTGTTCAAATTTACAGGATGTAACATATTGAAAAAAAATTAGGCCAAGATTTAAAAAATTATTAGTTTTCTTCATCCAGTAGGGTATAATCTTAAAATTGTTAACATTCTTAAGATTAACTAGCCCCAAAATATTACCATACCAAATTTCAAGTCAATACGTTAAATAATGACGAAAATATTGCATGTATAGTTATTACATGCTCTTTCCGGTTTAGAGGATGAATTAAATACATACATTTTCCACACACATCATACTCGAAATATAAACATTTTTTATATAATAGGTGTGTCTCTGCTCCTTACTACACATTATCGAAATCCATACACATGCGTGTCAGGATGGACGAGCGGGAGAAGCAAGACCAGCGCAGTAGGCAGTAAGCGAATAGACAGTGGCAATACCGCATCAATATTGCAACTGAGAATACTTGATCGTGAATTAAACCATTGAAAAAGCAGTTTAGATCTTTTTTATTAGGGATGATATATCCCTTCTGTTAACAAATATTGCCAATGAAAATACTGAAAAATTAAAATTTTACTTTTCCTCAAATTTTTCCATTACGGTCCATTTTTGAGAAATCAAGTATAAAACAAAAATTATAGAGAATGATATAGCAACCAACAATTTTCTTATAAATTCGGAGTTTACACTTTTTGTTAAATTTCTCGAATATGGACCATTTTAGGAAAATTATGAATAGGACAAAAATTATAGAGCTTAATATTACAAGCAAGTTTTATTAGAAGAAATTTCTTTTCCAAGCGTAAATAACATATTCCATAAAGTAGAAAAACGACCCTCTATAAAAAATCTAACCAGGTCTCTGCAGGATGGATTAAAGCTGAAGTTTAAAAATAGGTGTTTTTTCTTTGTATCCGTTCATGAGTTATCGCTTATACAGACATCATCGCGAAAATAAGTCGAACAGATTCAGGGGACCTCAAAACGTAAAAATGCGTCGAAAACTCGAGGTCGAAAAAAAAATCATGATTCCTATACTTTCCTTTTCTATATACAGACAGGAAATTAAAAAACGAAAACTAAATTTTAACATCTCAAAAGTAGATAACATTTGACCCAGTGTTATTTAGCAAAATATTAATATTTTAAGAACCTGAACCTATGGTAAAAATATTTACCATTTGTTATGAAACATAAAACAAATTGTTTATGAATATATTTTATTATCTGTCATTATTTTAAGTCTATTAATGATCCCTATTGGCGTTTTAGTGCCTTTTTTGTTAATTCTCAGAGTTGTGTGAATGAAAAAGAATTTTATCTGCATCTTAATATTTGTAGACTAATTATTATTTTATAAAATCTTTAGCAATTTACCAGACAATAAAATAATACATTTTAGCTCGTTATTTACATTAAGAATAATATCAAATAACTACCTTGTGAAAATAATACGGCTAAAATTAATGGATAAAAGTCGAATTGTTTTCATAGATGGGACACATCCATCTTTAAAAATTCACTAATTTAAAATCAGTTATTGAAAACATCATAACACAAAATAATTGATAAGAACAACTCTATATAATCGAATTACCCGTTTCCATAGATGATGCGACATTGCAATGTTTAAAAATTCACTAGTTTAAAACCATTAAAAAAAAAAACATCTCAAATTCACAATAATTACCCAAAATAATTAAAAGATTTTGTTAAAATCAAAAGATAAAGTGAAGTGAGAAAGTCAGTTTTTATCTATAAGTTCAATTTTTCTTTGGTTTGTTTTCACTTTGGGAATATGAGGGTGTAATTTGCATAATTTCGTAGGGGGAATTAGCGATTTTTCATTTACAGAATTTCCAAATCAACAACAAAATACATTTACTGGTTAAATTCTTTGTTTGAGTTTCCAGAAAAGTGACATTGCCTTCATTCACTAATTAAAAAATCTGAAATTCGCAAAAATAGCACACCACAGTTGTAGAAACATTTTTAGAAAACAGTAGTTGCATACAATTACTGGTTTTAAAACAACGGGCTGATAAAGTCCAACAGATTGTGAAATTATTATCAAAAAAGCTAAATCACCTTGTAATATTTTCATTACGTTGTGAGCCATTAATTACGAACCATCCTGTATTTATTTTATAAGTGTTCCGAAAAGTTTTATACAAATGGAAAAAAGTTGTTTTATATTTCACACAAAAAAAAATAATTCTTAATAAAAATTTCTGTATCATATATAATCAAGTATTAAATTTTGTAAAATATGTAAAGGTGGTATCCATCGAAAATTAAAATATCAATCTAAAATGTAGAGTAAAATGATTTTAAATTTCAATAGAGCAAATGATTAAAAATAGCACATTTGTTTATGACAAACAGTGGAAGATTCAACTGTAAATTTAGTAAAATTCGGGATAATTCCTGTTTTACTAAACCGCATAACTGTTTTTTTGTTTGTTCCAACATACGCGAAAACCGTAAGGTATTAGGCAATCGCGGTCCCGTCGCATCGCGGGCTACGCTAGTCTTTCTCGATCGCTATCTCGCGTTTTCCCGAGATTTTTAGGAAAACGCGATGCAAGCGAACACCGCTCAAAAACATCAAGTGCAAATGCACGCGTTATAAAATATGGGAAAGAACTTCACCGCGCACGCGCTCGAGACTAGTACAGACCGCGATGAGACGGGATCGCGATTGCCTAATACGTTTCCACCTTTACGATACTCTAGGCAAAAATTGTGCATTATTTGTACCCAGGGGCGGCTCGTGACCAAAATTTTGGGGGTTCACAGTAGCAGAATATAGATCCCGGTACAGATATAGGTAAAAAACTGCCAGTGTTTTAAAAAGGTATATTATAAACTTTCTAAAACACTGAAAGTTTTTTCATACATCTGTACTGATACCTATATTCTGTCACTGTGAACCACCCTACGAGCCGCCACTGTTTGTACCGTAATATTATGGTTTTCGCGTGTGTTGGAACGGACTTTCTACCAAAAAGAAATGTTTCGAAAAAAACAAAAGTAATTTATTGCTACTCAACGCCACGAATCATTTTGTAGTTGGCGCTTAAAAGGGCTCGAGTACAAATTTTGACATTATAGGAAATAACATGTGAAAGTTTAGAAATATAGCTATACCAGACAAAAGAAACAATAGAAGAAAAAAAACAAAAAAGAAAAAAAAAAAAAAAAAAACAAAAAAACAAAAAAACAAAAAAACAAAAAAAGGCACTAACAGGACTAAGACCACTACTACTAAACAGCATGGAATCCAACATTTCAAAAAATTCGCATACAAAGGTACAATAGCTCTCGTAAGCTGTAGAATATATGGGAAAAACTGGGGATTAAGCCCCAAAATGTCCATATGATTATACACAAAGGTGATAGGACATAACCTATGGCGCGGATAACCAAATTGCAATAGACCAACTCACTGGCATTCAGCGGCTCGTCTGTCGGAGTTCCACAAGGGCTATGCGTACTACACCAATTGCAGCGGAAGTACTTTTGAACCTCACGACCCTGCACATCTTACACAAGGAGAAACCATGCTGTTATTCAGACTAATGTAGGGACAAAACCTAAAAAGCCAACTACATAGTGCTGGCCATACGAGGTTATACCAGCAAGTAAAAAAGGATTCTAGGAATGCCTACTGATATAGCCATAACCACATATAAAGAAATTTTCAAATTCCATCCCAAAAAACCCGGATAAAGGGACCTCCCATACAGGCTAACTCGTCTGGTATACATACGGTTCAAAAAACAAGGAAGGAGCAGGTGCTGGAATCTTTGAACCCAAGTCGTCTACACGACAGTGTTCCAGGCTAAACTAATAGTCATGCAACACCCTGTAAAATAAATAATAAATCGACAAATATGAAGCAAAAACTATTGGCATCTACTCTGATCTCCAAGCAGCCCCATATGCCTCTCACCAAAAATCAAATAACGACTGGTAAAAGAGTTTCTAGAAGACCTCACCGAGCTAAGTAGTCAAAACAAATTGACCTTAGCCTGGGACCAGGCCGCGAAAGATATTAGGCGACAAACTAACCCGAGAAGGGTCATACAGGTTCAAAAACCCTTATGTGGAGTTGCTAAGACAACTATCCAGGATTGCGACAGGCCAAACAGTTAATTAAGGAACCAAAGGCCGGCCAAGTTCATGAGAGTCCTACTGGATCAAAACCAACAAATCGTTAGGATAATAGTAAGTCTTCTTACTGGACACTGTCGCCTAAGAAGGCACATGAAGACAGGTTCTGTGAAGAAGAAGAAGGACTGGCTAGACTGAGGTTTCAAACACTAAGTGAAGAAAAGCCAAGCGTTTGTAACTAGATGCTGAAGCCACTGTGAAGGCGCTATTAAGAGGGAAAGCCCACTCACGCGACTTGTCGCGAGGCATCGCGCGCGGCAATACTTTAGATGTTTTTAAATGACTCAAAGCCCATTAACGCGGTTTTGTCGCGTGGTCGCACGCGGCTGTAAATTAGAAATGACAAGCCCGCGATTTTCCTATATAATAAATTAAATGCGCCTTTTACATAAGGGTCTATAAATAATGGATGAACCTAGTACCTACGTCTTTTCAATTTTTTTCGTCAACGAACAGAATAAAACAACACCGTTGCTACTTCTTACACCTCCATTTTGATACTGAACGTCTGTGTCGCTGCTTGTCGTCTGTTAAAAATCGCACCTAAAAAATCGCATACGGCAAGTCGCGCGCGGCAAGTCGCGTAAGTGGGCTTTCCCTCTTAGTCAAATAAAAAAAGACCAACTTGGACGACATACTTTAAATAACGGAGTCCCACAATAGATCTGAAAACACATCATGATGGACAATGACAAATAATATAGATCTCCTTTTAAATCTAATCTTAGAAATATCATTGTCTGTACAGAGGATTCAAATAAAAGAATAATTTAAAAAAAATTCAGAACACACTTATACTGTTTTAACAGAACAAAATTAGCATTTTTTTAATATATCAGATCAAAAACCCTATTTTTCTAAAAATTCGACTTGTGCCCTTTCAAGCGCCGATTATGGTATTGATCGATTCAAGAATGTGAATACTGTCCAGACCAATACATTTCTAAACCAAAAAAGAATTTTTCAATATCATTTAGTTAGCACCCCACATTACAATTGAAAGAAACTTCCGAAATTTCCTTCCAACGTAATTTAATAACAATAACGTTTAGAAGCGCAGAATTACCGAAAAATAATAAAATAAAAAAACCTTTATTTGTCTTCCTCTAAACAACGATTCGTCCATAGCCATGGCGGTCTGTACGGAATCCCTGTCGCCGAATTCGATGTAAGCGAATCCCTTTGGATGGCCGTCATACTTATTGCACAAAATCGTGACACGATTGATCGAACCGCATCCGTGGAAATGTTGCTCCAGTTCTTCGGCAGTCGCTCCGTAGTCCACGTTTCCAACGTAGACGCTGCGATTGTCCACTTCCATTTTTTCTTCGAGGGACATGTTCAACGGACTCGCTGAAAGTGATAATTTTAACGCTAGATGATTTCCTAGAACTCTATACCGTCAATTTTTGTTTATTTAATAATAATAACTAAAATATATAACAGCACATACAATGGTATACAAGTACTTATAAAACTCTTTGTAAATAAATAAAGTTGTTACACACTCGGTAAACGCATAAACCACTTGTGTTGAGCTAGTTACAAAAAATTGGGTTCATATATAAAAGTAATTACAATAATTACCATAAAATTAAAAATATAGTACTTATTATAAAAATGGAAAGAATATGTGGTAATCGTTTATAATGAAGTTTTAAAAGCAATAAGATGGTGGAATTTTTTTCTTGGTAAACTAATGAATATTTTTATATATGGAAATCTGGAAATACTATTAATCTCTTTGTTTTAGGAATTGCGTTGTACATAGTTGGAGCCAGAGATAACAGGAGATGTAACTACAAACAAATATCCTGCTGTACTGAACACAGGAGGGTATAATATCCGCTGTTGTCATGCCGATTTCATTATTCTCATTTCGTTTACAAAATTATTTACATTAGTACTAGATGTGGCAACAGTGCTTGCATGTTGTTTTTTATTATAAGCCTACAAGCACTTACACATATACAGTTCATCAAATTTCTAGAGGCTTTCGACGGCTAGACAGAGAAAGCACTACTGACAGGCATCCCGACGGATTTACGCAATGAAAGTACACTCTGCGCATCAAGTATTTCACTATTTCATTCAGACGTAAATGTCAGATGTAAATTTCGCTAAAACATTTCTTTTATTTTCGTTTGTGTTTTTTGCTCATTACAGTTTAATAGAACCTAAGTATGGAGTTTAATAGCAAATTAAGAGGCCGCGTGATTAACAGTCAATCTCGCGAAATAATAGCCAATGTTATAGAGTTTATGAGAATAGAAGGAAACTTTAATTCACCTTCAATACCATTTAAAAATGTAAATGATCGTGTTGCTGCAGCCACAGGAGTATCTAAAAACACTGTCGTCCACATTTCTGGAGAGAAAAAAAGAATCGATAACCGTGAGATATCGGAATTTTCATCACCAAGAAAAACCATTAAAAAACCAAAAACAGTTAATGATATAGATGAAGCTGCACAAGAATCAAATTTTATTTTTTTATTATTAGATAGCTATTTTTGTTTCTGAGTTGTGTTCATTTACAGGCTCAATTTTTTTCCGTTTCTCCTTTTTGATTTTATATGGGGTTTCAAGTTGTTTTTGACTTATTTCGACGTAAATCACAACAACACAATTTTTTAATAAAGCAAACAAGTGTTAAGAGGTATATGTACGTGTAAACTACAATTACAAAAAATTGATATGAAACCCATGAAACCACCAACAAAAATGTAAAGCTAGCTTCCGTACTAGAACATGGTGTCATTCGTCGAGATAATTTATCGTTTTGTTTAATAGATCAAGAAATGTAAATATTCCCCTGTTATTTTTTATAAAATTATAAGAGAAATAAATTTTTTTCTAAATAGTATAGTTTATTATTTTGTAGAAAAACAAAATTTCGAAAATTTTAGTAATGTTTCAGAAACAACCGTTATTAATAATAGGTACCATTTTCCTTAATAAGGTAGAAATAAAATATAAACTATTTCCACGATTTACAAAGGCCTACAAAAAAATTATAGGTATTTTCCGCTATCCTATAAAATTTATATTTTCTGACTCAATTTCAAAAGGTTAAGGAATTCCAAAACACCTTTTATGGCATAATAATTATTTTCAATTCTACATACTATCTATAGCTGCTTTTAAAAACGTTCTAAGAAAGTCCAATCAGACCAATTTAATCCCTAAACTATTCCACACTTTTAAAATTTAATTACCTAAAAATATTAAAAACTATTTAAAATAACTTGTTTAGCAGACTGTACAATAGCTATCTTAGTCACACGTAGCGCGTTCTCTGTCTGGGCGTCGAACACCTCTAGAAATTTGATGAACTGTATCTCCTCTCTTACATCTCACCACATTTCTCTTCACTTCCCATGTCCAACTGGACGAGTGTGGAATCGATGTTGGCAGCATGAATATTATATTTTATCAATGAATAGCTAGATCTCCTGTTATCTCTGGTTGGAACCAAGAAGACCTATGACTTTTTCTTCGAGTGTCATAATTGTGTACCAGCTCCTCAAAATTAGCGGATAAGTACATGACCTATATTGTCCATTTGTAGTTGCGTCGTTATTTGCAGACTGCAAATTGGGCAAAATAATCTCAGTACTATTTTATTGGAAAATGACTCGTTATAGTCGCTTCAAAGAAATATAAAGGTCCTTTTATCATTTTTCGGTATTTGTAGTTAAAATAACACTCTTTCTTATTACAAAGTTGTCTTTCTCAACATTATTGAGGAATTACAAACTTTTGGTACAAGTGTCGATCTCCCAGTTATAGATTTTTGGTTGGTAGATCTTCATAGAAAAAAGTATGGGCGCCACTGTTCAAGGGCGGACTGCAGGCTGAATTCTCGGTGGGGGCCATGCTAATAATTTTTGAAGTGAAAACTTCTTTAGCGGCGTTGAGCACTTTTGTGGGATGGGTAAATACTGTGAAACTCGTGTCAGGACACGTGGGCTGATCGAAAATTCGTAAGACGGTTGGAGAGTAGTGTTGTAACATCGAAATCGATTAATCGAACAATCGATTGTTTTCTTTCGATTGTCGATATTTTTTAATCGATTGTAAGGGTTTCGATTAATTAAATTTTTTAAAAATCTATTTTTATAAAAAATTGGTTTCAAAAAATTTTTTTTTCAAAGTATGAAAAAAAAAATTGAAAAGAATTAGAAAATTAAATTTTGCAAATTTTCTACATATTATTTTTTTACCATGATTGATTTCTTGCGTATAAATTGTATTTTTTTACCATTTTTTTTCACCTAAAAAATCGATTGTTATGATTTCGATTGTACAACTATAAAGTTAATTGCAAAAAACTGTTTTTATTTTCTACAGTTAATTTATTTTTCGATTAATCGATTGTTTGAGAGCAATTAATTGACTAAATTGATTGTCTAGCTTCAAGTTTTCACTTCTGCCGGCACTCCCGGAGTGCAACCCGTGTTTTTTTTTAAGCTGGGCTTTTATTGAGTCCTTATCCAGCGACGACTTTTTTAATTGTTCCTCAACCTCAAAGATAAACATAAGGTGCAGATACAAAGTACTAGACCTTTTTTAGCTCCTACACTCTTGACACTTGAAAATGCTGTATATATCACATTAAATTAAAGGAGTCTCATGGATTGGAACAGTTTTAACCTCGGGGAGTCGAGTTAGCAAAAAATATTATGAATACTTTTTTGATTTAACTAGATGGGCGGCTATCCTCGACAATCGCTAAAAAACGAACCGTTATCGAAAGTGAGTGGTTGAAAAGCGACCACTTAAGTCAATGACACATATCCCACTATTTAGTCTTATGAGAAGTTCCCTATATCACACGTAAGAGGATAAGATTCTACTTGGTCCATGTATGAATATGAATCTACTTTTCGCATTAGCTGTTAAATATGTCCGTGTTGAGTTATGAACTGAGTGTAAACTATACCGTGAGCACCATAAGTCTTACCCCCCCTGTCTAACTCGTTACTGGAGTCTTGTTAGGAAAATCGCCGAGACACGTCGATTTTTGATTTCTACAGTGTACATTTTTGTATGAATAGTTTACCCTTAATTTCATCCCTTACTGGAGGGGAGCAACCCTTTCGAAAAATTTAAATGGCATGGGATGGTGAGTGATAGCTCATTTGAAAGAGTGTTTTATTCTCTATTCAACCATGTAAAAAAATTTGAAATTTGCTTAATTAATTCTCGACTAATTGTTGTTTCAGAATAACGGAAATTAACGTAGTGCACTCATCCTTAGAATTAAAATTCGGCCCTGCATGATTTCGGTTTTGGTTCAGACGTGAAGTAAGACTTTTTGCCATTAGAAGGTCACTATTAGTTTAGTTGCTTTCATATTTTGTGAGGTTTTGTTATTTTTAAACATTAATAAATCAACACGTAATGAAGCAAATTTAAATTTTTTTGCACGGTTGAATAGAGAATAAAGCCCCCTTTCAAATGAGCTATCACTCACCACTCCATGCCATTTAAATTTTTCGAAAGGGTTGCTCCCCTCCAGTAAGGGATGAAATTAAGGGTAAACTAATCATACGAAAATGTACATTGTAGAAAACAAAAATCGACCTGTCTCGGCGATTTTCCTAACAAGACTCCAGTAACGAGTTAGTTAGGGGGGGGTAAGACTTATGATGCTCACTGTATACTTATTTTATATAAATAAAAATTTCCTTGGTTTATTCGGTTATGTTTTTATTTTCCATCATTTACGCACAAGCACTACATATGTTCCGAATTTTTTTTTTTTTTTCAAACTTCTGGTGAAGTCAAAATTTAATAAAACAGGGGACAATTACAGTTTAAAATCTTTAAAATATCAGAAACCCCATCTTTCTGTTTCACAGCGTTTAAAGGTGTATTCGAAATAATAATTTGGTTTAACACGATAAAGTAGGTAAACAAAAAGGCGAGTTTTTACAAAGTTAAAAATTACCAGTGGCGTTACAATACGCGTGTTTAGTGAACACGGCACAGGTTGAGGAAGGTCATAGCACTGGATGCCAACAAAAGAACCAGACTGTCAACTGTCATTAATGTTCATAAGAATAACACAGCGATCAATGAAATTATTAAAGCATAATTTTAAAAATAAAAGCAATTTAATATATTAGAGCATATGGACGGTAAGGTAATAATGTTTATGTTTCTCTATCAATTTCATTTTTTTTTTTTTAGGAAAATATTTGTCTTTGATTTGAAGAATTTTAAACCAGCCTCAAACCCTAATTTTTGAAGTGGATATAATTTAAGTAATTGACACATTCAAAGCATATAAACGGTAAGTTGGTGAGCTTTACATGTAATTCTATCAATTTCATAATCTTTTTTCAG